GTCTTGTTCTCCCAGCTGCCAACCTTCAGAGACCCAGCACAATTCCCAGGTCAGCTTCACTCCCCTCGAAACCAGCTCCAAAGCTGTGTCCCTTAATCCTCCTCCCCTCACCAAGCCCTCCCAGAACACTTACCTCGTTTCCATCCTAAATAATTTCATTTCTTCAAGCTGTAAGTTTTCCCACCAAACACCCTCGCTTTCTTCACATCCTTTTCTCAAGCTTTTCTCTCTCTCCCTGGACTCACACCCATTGTACCTGCTGCAGCTGTTCCAGCTACTGCCCATATAAAAATGGCTCCTGCTGTTTTCTGTTCACAGACAGAGTTCCGTTTAGCTAGCCATCACTTCTAATTTTCCCACGGGTGCTTCACTAATTTCAGGTCATAATTTAAGAAACCCAGAAGGTGACACCCATGGATCCAAGCTTTGGCAGAATTTGATCACTTACCACAACTGTTTTGAACGCTTTAGTCCTGTATGCAACGTTAAGGCCTTTACAAGTAAACCGCAGGCATAGAACTCCACGGGATGCAAGATAGGCTGCCAAAGACACTAAGTGAGGGAAATTCATATCTCCTCCAGCTCCATGGGTAAGAATCACTCCATATGTTGATTTCTTCTCTGGGACAGAAAAGATAGCATCAAGATATTTGTTTCCAAAAGGTATTTTCACTTTAACCTAGAAATGACACACATATAAAAAAAAAAAATCATTTAAAAAAAACAAAGCACGTTCCCAGTCTACACATTATGATGAAGGAAAATTGGACAATTAAAAAAGAAACCAAAATTGCAAATCCACTTTTATTTCTTCTCTTTAAGAGCACTAAATTAGTAACTCTACCTCAGGCTCAAATACTTTCCATGTAATAATTGGCAAGTCACTTTACCACTCCACACTTTAATTTCTCCCTTAGAAAATGAAGCATTCCTAGCTTCAAAGGATGCTTCAAGGCATAAACTGAAATGCTTCTTGCCTTCTCTATATATCTATATCTAGCTATTCGAGAGCTAACTGCCATACTTGACTTGAATATTAAATCATCCACAATAAGAAAAATTAACTTTTCTGTAAGACTGAAAAATAAATAGGAAACATGAACTCTTCTATAATTACAGTTTCCTATAGTGGAAAAAGTATTTTTATCTCCCACCTCTCACAGACTTTATTAAATAAGAGTCAAGGAAGCTCCTAAACATTTATTACAACCAAATTACTTTGGATCTGCAGAGCCATAGGGAGTATATAGGATTAAGAGAATTCCATGCTGGTAGCAACAGTGCTGTAGCTGTAGGATCCATGTACAAGCTTCATTACAGCGGGAAAAGACAAAAAATAAAAAGGATATTACAAAAAATGGATTTGAATACACTAGTTTTAGATATTACACACAACTATAAGAAAAAACCCACAGGAATTCCTTTTTTTCATTAAGTGTTCAATAATAACTGATGGCCAATGTCACAAGAGACATATTTCATGTATTTGTATAATTAATATTCCAAGGTAAGAAGGCACTTACTCTCTAACTCGCAGCCTAAACCACAGACACGTGACACACGAAGCCAGCTGCCCAACGG